CAAGCGTGCAGGGGCCCTCCTCCAGGAGCCTCCTGGCCCGGGGAGGGTCCCGCCGCAACCCCGGGTAGTCCTTGAAATGGAATTTCATAGTCTGGACAGATGTTTTGGTTCTGACAGATGTTTGCACAGGGATCATGGGTACACACGCATGTGTACGTACACCTAGGTGAACCTGTATGTATGGAGGCAGCGGGTGTGTGTGGTGGGGATGCCTGATTCAGTGTGTAGGGGACATGAGTGTGGAAGGTAGGTTTGTGCCTCTGGGGGCCCCACAGCCGGGCAGGTGAGCCTCCCTGCTTCGATTCTGCCCAGCGCTGTGCTGGTGGCTTCATGCCTGGGACCTCATCTGGTCCCCCTCACCACCACCCCCTGGAGGAGGCAGTGTCACGCCATTTTGTAGGTGAAGAACGGCAGCAGAGTTAAGTCACTTGTCCAAGGTCACACAGGTGGGAAGTGGGGATTCCAGACCCAGCCCACAAGACTGCACCCCTGCAGCCCCCTGGGGGTGTCTGAGCAGCCCAGTACACTCTGAGGCACATGCATGAAGGGAGGTCTGGCCATGCAGTGGGTGATGATGGCCTGAGAGCCCCCAGGCATGCTGAGTCCAGGGCAGGAGGGTACTGATTGCACGTGCGTGGGCCCCTGCCGAGGGCGGGTCTGGCTGCCTGTTCTCAGGTTTGGGCAGGAGGCAGGCAGCTGTTTCTCAGGGTGTGGGCACGTAGGTGTCTTTACGAGGGGCCCACCTGAGACATGTGCCTGGGTGACGCCCTGTGGGGGATGTTTTAGGGGTGTCCGGGGATATCAGGTTCAACAACATATATAAATGTGCACGTTCAAACTTCTCGTTGCTAAGGACAACAGACGACCTGACTTCCCTGCTGTGGGGCCTCCCTGCCACCAGCCTTCCTGATGCCCCAGCCCCTCGCCTGCCACGTGTTCACCCTCTTCCTCTTCCTGTGTCTCCCTCTTCCCCCACCACCCGGGACTCTCAGCCCTTAGCTCTCGGAGCCCCTGTCCTTGGCCTTCCCCTCTCCTCCACACTCCCCTGGGGGGGCCCACCCTCCCCTATGCTCCCTCCCTCTCTGAACTGTCTCTGAAATGCCCCCTCCAGCCCAGATCTCCCCCCGACACCCTGATGCCACAAGAGCCCCGAGCGAGGGCTCACTGACTTCCCTCTGTTGGGAAGAAGCCCACCTCAACTTGACCATGACTCCTCCCCCTTCACTTCCCAAATGTGGATTCTATCTCCTCCCATTTTCAAAAACCCACCCTCCGCACTCCATGGCCATCACCTAGCGCAGGCCCCCTCTCAGTCTCCAGGCTCACATCTGACCCCCACATCCCTCCTTGCCCACCAGCCTGTGTGTTCTCTTAAAAACACACATCTAACTGTGGAAACTCCCTGTTCCTGCTTAAAGCCCCTGAGGAGACCTCACCATTCCTGACCACAGCTGGGCCACCAGCTAAGCCTTCTTTCACCTCAGGGCCTTCGCACGTGCTGCTCTCTCTGCTCGGAACATCACCACCTCTCCCATCCCCAGCCTTAGCCCCAGGCCTTTACTAAGCTAACAGCTACTTAGCCTTTGGACCTGAGTTAGCTGTCCCCTCCTCCTGGAAGCCCACACTGCTTCCTGAGTCCATGGGGTCAGGTGACCTCCATGGATCCCCATGTCTACTTGTTCCTGTCACAGAACTCACCTGACAGATGCTATTGTCTGTTTCTTTCATCCCACTATGTGGGACGTGTTGTGTTAAATGTCCTCACCCAGCATAGGGAGGGCCTGGCATGAAGTGAGCGCCTACTAGAACTTTGCTGAAGGAGAGAGGATGTGGAGGTCCGTGGGGTGTGTGCTGACTCCACAGAGGGAACAAGACCTGATAAAGCTACGACCGTAGAGGCTCCCACTAAGGGCGTGGCCCTCAACAGCGGCCCAGAGCCAGTCACCAAAGCAGCGTGTCCTTGGACATCGCTGGGAGGGCGTGCAGGGTCTCAGAAATAGCAAGCGTATTTTTTGACAAGAAATGAAGACATTTTCATTTTTACTGCCCTAGTGCAAGCAGTCATAAAGTGAATAAAATAAAACAAAAAGATCCAGTTTTGAATCATCATAAGTGGCTCTTAGAACCAGTGTCTTTTGTAGAACACGGTGTCCAGTTTTTCCTTATTATTTAAAAAAAAAGATTTGCTATGCATATCATGCACGTAAATGAAAAACGCGACAAGTCCTCGTCAGCTAGCAGGAGAGTGAAATGAGGGTGGAAACTGCGGGGCCTCCAGGCACGTGAGGTCACGGACTCGCATCAGAGTCCGGCCAGACTTACGGGCCTCACTCCAGGGTGAGAATCTGAATGCTCACGGCTGGGCCACCCTTCAGGAGGGAGGGAGGGAGGTGGGGACAGGGCTCCTGCCTCCCTGCAAGCCCTCAGGGGAGAAGTGAGTCAGCCCTTGGGGCAGAGGGAGGAGGACATCCATGGGAAGCGCAGCCGCTGCACCCCTGGCCTGGCTGCACCAGCCCCAGGTACAGGGCCCTGATCCCAGAGCTGGGGGTGGGGGCACATCTCTCCCCTGAGACCCACGTCTCCTTTAGAGAAGGGTCCCAAGGCCTTGATTCCGGGCCAGCTGTCGAAAGCTTGCCCTGTGCCTAAGCCACGTTCTCTAATCTGTTGTTACCAGTGAGAGCGGGGAGTTTTAAAAACTCCCATCTTTCTGATTGATCTTGAACTCAAGGGAGAAGAGGCCTGGCTTGTAATCCCCCGTAAACCCTCCGACGTCCTGTGTTCAAGCCTCTCCCAACAGCTTGTGCGCCGTGTGCTCTCTGAGCTTGAACATCACTAACCAGACACGGGTCTGGCGGGCGCTGAGACCAGACGGCGTGTTTGCCCGAAACTTCCAGACAGAACAGGGCTTCCCGGGTGGTGATGGGAGGAAGGCAAGATGCTGCTGGCAGCAAGATCATCCAGGAACAAAACACCACGTGACCCGCTCACCAGTCTGAGTCACATTCACTCACAGGCTACGAAAGGGGCTTTGTGCTTCCGCACAGAAAGCTGCAGCTGACCTCAGCTTGGTCCGACGCCAGCGTGGATGGCAGCTTTTAAACGAGGTATCCTTGGGGGAGGCGCTGACTGAGGACGTTGCTGAGAGCTTTTCTTCAGCACTCATCATTCCAAGGTGACCAACGTGGCCCTGTTTGCCTGGGGCCGTCCCCTTTTCGGCAATGAAATCCCCACATCCTGGGAAACCCCTGTGTCCCAGGCAAACTGGACAGTTAGACACTCTCGCAGTCCCCTCACTGCTCCCAGTGGGTCCTGCTGACCCAGTTTTCTTTTTGGGGTGCGTTCTTAGCACCCAGCTCTCTCCAGGGGGGAGATACAGTACCTCCCAAACACTGGACATCCGTTTACAGACATGTGGCAGAGCTAGTGTCCCTGAGAAAATGAGCAAACACTGGTCTAAGTCCAGTCCCCACGGAGTGGACTGGGCCCCTCTCACCTGGCACAGAGTCGGGGCCTCTAAATGCCATCACCCTTGCAGGATGTTGGGGGTAGCTGGCAGGCGAGGGCGGCTGGCGCGACTCGCAGCGTTTAGGGCACAGATCGTGGTGCCAGGCCGAGCAGCTTGGCGGGGCTCTGCGGTCAGCGGCAGATGGGCGGCAGCTGGCAGGAGCTGGTGTAGGTGGGCGAGGGGGGAGACAGGGCCAAAGCAGGTAGCAGCCATGTGCCAGGCAGGCCCCGTGTCCTCAGTGTACAAGGGAGATGTGCCTCTAATCTTGCACGATGGTTGAGAAGGGGAGCCCTGGGGTGGGGCCCAAGGCTGTGGGTCTGGATCACTTGCTGTTTGCTGGGTGACGGACGAGCGAATTGGGAAGGCACAGGGTGGGAGAACTTGGTGCCTGGCGGGGCCGGGAACTCCCTACAGTCTGCCGCCCTCCAGGAGGCTCTGGGGGTTGGAGAGAGGGAGACCCCAGCGCCCCACCCCAAGTCACTGGTGGTGCCTGCTCTGCTCACCACCCACGAGCACTGATCAGACACCTCTGGGAGTCCCGCCTGCCCCAGGTGCTTAGCAGCAGCACTCAGTTCCACTTAAAAATGCCATTTCCTGGGGTCCCGATTGTAGCCCCGCAGGGCTCACAGCTCTCCATTTCGGGGCTCAGGGACATTGAGGGGGTCTAGACTAGCAGGGGCTTCTGGAGGATAAGGAGGGAACCCTGGGCCCGACACGGCCACATCCTCCGGGGTGTACTGGGCACTGGGCTCTCAGAGGCTCATTCTCAGTGAGCGTCGGAGTGAATGCTGAATAAACTGAAAGTCTTTGCTGGACACGCGACGTGACACCCCATCCCCACCGGGAGGCTACAGGCACATTCGGCTCTGTCAGTGAGAGGGATATTTACAGGACGCACACCACATGCCTAACACCTGCAGTCACCGGCGTCTGAGGAGCTGCCAGCCAGCCAGGTGTGACATCATCATCCCCGCCCCCCGTCCCCCAACGCTGTTCACCTGAGGACGCAGACTCAGCCAGGTGACAGTGCTGTGGGAGTCGCCACGACCACCTGTGTGACCTCAGCAAGGCTTCGCTGCAAGTCTGTTACCAACATTTAATGCCTTGTACGTGACTGGGGAGGACGGACAGGTGCCTGGGGAACAATACTTACATCCTAAACGTCCTTCCACAGATTCTGGAAGGAACCCTGATTAAGATTGCTATAACCTCACCATTATAAAAATAACATTTTAAAGTTTAACTCTTGTGCTTTAAAAGAGAAAGATCTGTATTAAAAAGTTGTGTATGTCTAAAATATCCTAAATTAATGTCAAAGGCAAACCAGGAATGTATTTTTAATAAATACAGCAAAAGTTATTATCTGTAGGATGTAAGGCACGCAGGGAAGTCAGTGAGAAAAACCATAGTCACAAGAAATACGTATTAAATACGTGAATAGATGACTGCATGGCTGAGTTAATGCATGAATGAGTAACAAACAAGCTCGATGGAAAATGGTCCAAAGAAATGTAATTACAACTCACAAGGAAGAAGAAAATGGATGATACACACAAAAACTTCATCGCTAGTGCTCAGATAAATGAAAACATGACGTCACATAATCTTTGCCTATCACATCGGCAGAGTTCTCAGTGGTGATAAGCCACGCTGAATGAGAAGCCAGCAGCGGTAACACTCAGGTAGCGGGGGCGTTGGTACCACTTTTCTGGGAACCATTTGACAGCATCAAAGCTCTGAAAAACTCTTACCCTTTGGCCCAGTGGTTCCACGCCTAGAATCTATCCTGTGGAAGTGCCTTAAAATGTGGGGAGTAACTGGCGGGTAAAGATGTTCATCACTGCACGATGCTGAGTAGGAAAACTGATGTTGGAAATGCCCTCGGTATCTGACAGCGGAAGAATCATTAACTGAGGGTAGAGCTGTGGGTGGAAGGTGCAGGGCCACCGAATCCCGTGCAGGGAGCTGACTAAACAGGATTCAAAACTCAAGTCAAGTACGATTTCAACTAAGTTTTTAAAAAGCGTGTGGGAAAAAAGCCGGAAGGAAATACACCAACTGTCGCAGAAGGGTTTCCTCGGGGGGCGGGGTGGGGGTGGTTTACTTCCTTCTGTGGTCTCTGTTTCTACCATCAGCGGGAGTGACTTTCGATCAGAAAACGAAAAGGCGTGCACGTGCGCATGCAGACGCAGACGGACCAGAAGGCATGCTTCCAGGACAGCGAGACGCCAATGTACAGTTTCTTGTATGGTGCCGGGAAGCTTGGACAAGGTGTACGGACAGAAATGCCGCTGGGCTCTACCTTTTCACACAGGGCAAGCACAGTTCCAGCCTGGATTATTGCAACCTGCTCTTCATTTCTCAAGTTCTAAAACACAAAAATGGGCAAGGGCATTTGACAGGGATCCCACATCACGTGCAGACAGTCAGCCCTACACGCCTTGGAGAGCTGCTCTCCGGACGGCCTCCCCGGGGTCAGCCCCAGTCACTGGTGGGCCGGCTGTGACACGTCTGAGGACCCGCCCTCGCCCTCTGGTTGGGGATGTCTCACACGGTGGTGCGGAGCCTTTTAGAAACAGGGCCTCCCTCAAGCCAATCTTTTAAGAAGGCAAAAGTGTCCCTTTCTGATTTCAGAAGCCTCGAGTGACCCCGTGGCTCTCTGGGGATCCATCTTTGTGCGCTTCCCCCGTCATCACTCACAGGCTATCCGGATGCCCTAAGTTCAGAATCCCACTTCTGCCGAACGTGGACCCAGCCACCCAACCCAGGAACATGGCCATACAAAAGCCTTACATTGTACTTAGTAGATCTCTTAAATTAGGAAGAAATTAAAACGAAACGAAACAAAAGCCACACAGAGTACACCCGGCTCAAAACAAGGACACGAAACCAGAAACCGATCGCTCATAGTTACCCCATTATCGCCAAGGATATCTAATTTCTTCATAAGTTCAGAAATATTCACATCCTGGAAAAGATGGCCAACGTTCATGTTGTGTGAGCTACAAAGACCATCCACACCAACCTCTAGGGCCACGGTCCTCACTCCTGGATAAGACACCTCTCCCTTTCTTGTCTCTTAGGGCCTAAGGCTGGGCCAAGTGTTACTCTTAGTTCCTTCCCGGAGGGCAGGGAGGGCAGGCTGGTAACTAATACGTATGGACTGAGTTTTATCCAGCACAAACACGGCTTTCTGGAAAGGCTCATGGAATCCCATGGGTCAGAAGGGCCTCTCTGTGCCCGCGGGCCTAGGAGGACCCCAGGGACACAGCGAACACTCAGCTGTTAGAACCACCACAGCTCCCATCTCCAGAACACTCACCGCGCTTCGGGCACTGTACTGAGTGCTTCACGTTCATGATCTAAGTTAACGGTGTGGGCGTTGCCACTTAGAACGCCTAGACAAAGAGACTGAGGCTCAGAGTGGTTACGGGCCAGAGCTCGGAAGTGGCCGGGCTGGGGTGTGCACTCAAGGCTGAACAGGGGTACAAGCAGAGCGACATCTGGTGACCCACTAGAGTAATGAACTCTGACTTTCAAAATACGGTGGGGACGGGAGCATCTCGGTAAAAATCAATTCTGTCCCTGGCACCAGGACACCATCCCCTTCACAGCTGAGCCTGGCCCTGGAGGGGGCCCTGGGCCGTGGTGTAGCGGGGGCACCCCCCAAGCACGCTACCTTCACTCCTTCCTGGTGACAGAACAGCTGGAGGGCGCTGCTGTTGTTCTCGGGGAAGGTGCTGATTTGGAGGTTAAATGCTGGCGACCTCCGCTCTCTCTCCTGGGGAAAAGATTTGGTTTAAAAACAGAACTTTATTGGATTATTTACCACTTGCCATTTTCCCATGTTACTCAGCAAAACCCAATGAATTCCGGCGGGCAAAGGTGTTGCAAGAAAGTGCACATTCAGACTACCGTCTCCTCGTCGTGATGGAGACGCTGCGGCCTGTCTGCATTGCAGCGCATCTCCTGTGGAAACGGGGTTACTTCTTAACCTAATCAGCTGAGAAGCGGTGTTAGCAGTGTCTGAGTTGACCTGCTGCAGATCGAAGCCCAGGAAGTCGCACAATCATCGTTAGATACGCAATAAGAGCAAGCGCGTGGAATTCCAATAGACATTTGTTATCTCATTTAATCCTCATGCAACCCCACGAGGCAGCTGTTACTACTTCTGTTTTGTAGACAGAGAGACCAACCGAGGTCCCACACGAGTGAGCGGCAGGGCCAGGACCCAGACCCTGGCTTCCCATTTTTTTCCATATAATCATCTGATTTGGTTCACAATTTTTTTGGAACCCCACTAATACACCAGTGATCATTCTATCTCTGCCTTAGACTGACAGTCAGATCTCAGTTACTAAGGAAGGAAAACAATCATTTTCCCAGAAACGGTACTTATTAATCAAATAAGAGATACACTTTTTGAAAGGACCAGTCACTTACGGAAATAAAGGATAGCCGCAGAACAGTGCTCTGGTCTCCAAGGTGTTTCCTACACAGAGTCGCCTTTAAACCCTGAGCCATGGACAGGTTGGCCAGCAGAGGAGACCTTTCCAAATCATACTCTGAAATCAAACTGCTTTTATTTTCACAAAATTACGGTAAGTTGAGTAAGCGTGTGTTGGACCGCCGCCTGCAGACTCTGGCAGCTGAACCCATGGGCTTCCTTAGCCATTCAACTAAGATATGTAATCCAGATGGGCACTAGTTCAGATGGCAGGTCCTAAGCAGACGCTCTGGGACAAGGCTAAAGGGGAGAGGAAGGGCGGGGCCATCCATTCAATTAATTCCCACGAAGCCCCAGTCTGGCTAACCAGTTTAGAGAGAAAACCTAATCTCCCTTATTAGACAAGAACAACAGAATTCATCCCGGTTCTGTACAACAGATGCCTTTCCTACATGAAATACTTACATGGAGGGGAACAAAAGAAAGCTCTTATTTTTTTATGAATGAAAGTCAGAAAACTGGTTTCGAATGGCTCCAAAGGATGATGGAGACAAAGAACATTCTAGTGAAAGGACCAATGCTTATGGAATTCTGACGAGAA